GAAGAAGGAGGAGGAGGAAGAGGAGGAGGAGGAGGAGGAGGAGGAGGAGAAAGGGGCTGAAGTTGTTTAAAAATTGGATACAAATTAAAACTTTTTTTAAAAAATGGGTATAGATTAAATGGGGGGCGACCAAAGGCGCCCCGTGCAATTTCTACTATTAGAACGAAACAACTTAGCATTCATTTCAAGAATCCATAAACTTATAAGAAACAACCTAGTAAAAACCATAAAATGAACGTTAAATTATATATATAAAAAGAAGTCGAACATGTGAAAAAATCTGAACATCTAGGGTGTGTTTGGTACGAAGGAAAATGTTTTCCATGGAAAATATTTTCCTAGAAAATGTTTTCCACAGAAAATGAGTTATTTTTTTCTTGTTTGGTTGGTGCGTGAATTTTTTTTTTTCGGAAAATATTTTCTATTGTTTGGTTAGAGAGTAGAAAATATTTTTTATGCTACTCTCCTCACCCCCTCCCCCAAGTCCCCATGTTTGCTTGCTCCATCCCCTCTCTCCCCTCCCCCTCCAAAATACCCAACTTTTTCATGATTCTATTTTCTTCAATAATTTAGTTATTCTTATAAAAATCCACACCGACTCAAAGGAACTAATGTGCTGCTTTACTTTTTTGCACAAAACAACGTTGAAATTTATGTTCCATAACTATAAAGAAAATACTCTTTTTTTGGTTGAAAAAGAAAGTACTCTTTCTACAACATGAAAATAAATAATTATTTTATTGAAATAAAAGAAAATACTTTTTCTACATCGTGAAAAGAAAATACACATTTTGTTGAAATAAAAAAAAATATTTTTTTACGTCATGAAAAGAAAATACTTTGTTTGTTGAAATAAAAGAAAATACTTTTTCTACGTCATGAAAAGAAAAAAAGCATTTTGTTGAAATGAAAGAAAATATTTTTTCTACATCATGAAAAGAAAGTACTCTTTTGTTAAAATAAAAAAAAAAATACTTTTTTATATCATGAAAAGAAAATACGCATTTGTTGAAAAAAAATCTATCTATAACATGAAAAGAAAGTACTATTAATAATATTTTTATTTAGGGTGGGGGCGAGGGTGGGGATGGGGTGGGGGTAGATTGGTAGGGATGAGGAATAGGGTGAGGAATGTTGAAAAAAAGTTTTGGAAAATATTTTCCCTGCATTTGATAGAGAAAATATTTTCCTGCAATTAGAGAAAGAGCAGTTGATGAGGAAAATATTTTCAAAAACATTTAAGCCGACCAAACATTTGAAAATTGGATAACATTTTTAAAAAAATAATTTCCTTCATACCAAACACACCCCTAATCCAAAACCTTAAGGTAATAATTAGGGTAAATCCTGATCATTATAAGCTCAGTATGAAGCACTTACAATACCTACCCAACTAAAACTAATTACCCAACCTACCAATCTCACCATACCACTTCTTTTACCCATTTAGTTTTGCTTAGTTTGATTTGGCTTGGCTTGACTTAAATTGGTTTGGCTTAACTTGTATTGGCTTAGTTTAACTTCATTTGGCTGGGTATTTAAAAAAAAATAGGTAGAAGAAAAAAGGGATGGGCAGAGGCGGGTAATTAGTTTTTGTTGCATGGATATTTGCTTAAATGGTTGGCTTGGAGCAATATTGGGCCGACGAGCAGAGTTAAAAGAGAAGACTAGGACAAAATTGCCAAAATCTCATTGGATTGATGGGATTTTTTTATTCTTAATAAATTTTTGTTAGGTTGAGCCTTTGAACGGAGTGACCCCAGGCAGGAAGTCATTTCTCCTTTCATGAGATCTATACGACACGAATTTAAATTAATGAAGTTGCTGAATATGACACGAACAAATTAGTCGGGCTACTGAATATGAAATGCCAAGTGGGTATACAAAACTAAAGTTAAAAGATAATTGTGAAATTGCGCTTATCAAAATTTGGCTAGATACCATTGGAAAGAAACTTAAGATCATTATAAATTTCCTTGGGAACCATTACACAGTCCAGGGGAAACTAATAGAACCAAAAACGCAAAAAAATAAAAATAAAAAATAAAAAAATAAAAAAATAAAAAATAAAAATAAAAAAAATTAAAGAGCTTTTTACTTATTTATACTAATTTTGAAACTTATGTACCTTTGCCATTTAGGTTTTCACTTAATTTTAAATTCATATACAATTACCAATTTTATACAAAATAATGTATTAGACTCTAATCTTTCACACTTTCTCTCCATCTTCCACCCCAAAACTAAAATTATAAATTAATAAAAGAATGTTTAGCAGTGGCGAATCCAAAATTTTATGTTTGTGAGTGCTTAACTTTTTTTTTTTGACGTAAAGTTACTATTAATCCCATCATATAAGTGTGCAACTATTTAAATACAATAAAAAAATTAATTAGAAATCATGATATTAATATTATTGGCGCCGTGAAACTGTGATGGATAACACGATTAGTGAGAAAAAGATCAATGGATTTTGTGGTTCCGGAAGGATTCTTTGTTTTTCTAAAGCAAATTTTCTTTTTCTTTCTTTGCTATAATTAATTAGATAAAGTAAGAAAAGAAAAGCAAAAAAATAAATAAAACAAAGTAGTATTGGCTCAAAAAAGTCACTAGCGAAAACTGAAAAGAACAAAAAGAGGACCTCATAACTGGGGCAAAAGAAAATGCCTGATAATATAAGAAAAAATTGAGGGAAAAATGCTTGCAAGGAGGGAGATTCGATCCCTCACCCTTTGGTTTTTATAGCGCTTCAACACCCATCATAAAACAAAGCAGCCATCAGGCTCTTTGTTACTTGGGTGCTTGCTATTCTTATATCCTTTTTCTTAGATTCTCTATATAACTATACATATTCCGAATCGAGGTTAATGGGTGCTCGAGCACCCAATTTTTGTACGTAAATCCGCCCCTGATGTTTGGCCTGTTTCTCCTCAATTTTAGTCATACTTTTACGAGAACAACATTAAGCAATTCTATTATGTTTTCTCTTTCTTTTTACTTTTTTTTTTATGTTAAACAATGAATGAATTATCACGTTTGAACGAGGGAAGATCGTTACTTTCTTTTAGCTTTTTGGAATCAATAAACAAAGTAACATTAATCAGATGTGAGTAGATTGAATTGGAAACTATGTTAATCCATTAGAAAGCTTAGAAGCTTTGAATTCGAAAATTGAAATTTGCGAAATTGTTTTGTTTGGATTGGGTGTTGCTGCAAATGATTGAGAATATCCGTTGGAGTTTATATCTCATTTTTGAGACAATTTGGTGAAGATTCGAGGTGATTTTGGTTGAAATTTCAGATTAAAACTCGAAAAAGAAGACATAAACAAATTGTATATATTTTGTATGTCGAATGGAGAAACGGTATACAAAATATCTACAACTTACATAATTGTATATTCGTTATATATAAATTGTAGTTTTTGACCGTATTCTGTACACAAAATATGTATTTAAGTTGTAGATAAATTATATCTTTTGACCTTATTTGTATATATTTTGTAAAAAAGCTTTGATTACTTTATGTAAATATGAATACTTAAACAAAACCGGGTAAATAAGTTTAAAATCTCGTATATATACGAAAAAGTCCCAAAATTAAATGATTTCGTGTAATCCAGATCAGAAGCCTGCTAGAAGCTTTGGTCCCAAAACTAACAATGGACCAGTCCGTATAATCCAGCCCACTGAATCACCCATCTTTTGAACATGTGCAAAACCCGCCATCTTCTCCTCCCGGTTTGAAGTTTGAACTTTCAACCCTCCCCACTGATACGTGTTTCCCCAGTGGAATTCTCCAGTAGAGAGTATTAATTGTTGTTGAAGCAAAATAGAGCTCAAAGGCACAACAAAACATTACTTTATTACACACAATTTTGACTAAATGGTGAAGCATTTGCCTCGATTTCAGTTCCCTATAAGCCTAAATTCAACTGCCTCTTCTTCTCCTGGAATCCCGCTTACTTCATCGCACCTTCATCCTCCATTTGCCCTTATTAAAATATCTTTATTTTTTCCACTGGCCATGTTTTCTCTTACAGTTTATATGGTTTTCTCAGATTCACGCTTTCCATTTGCTTTGCGTACTCTTCAAAAAGCTCACTATTTGTGTTCTCACGTCTTTTTCGTGACCTCTTTTGCTGTACCTAGGTGCTTGCACTATTGTACGGAAACCCAAGGAACGATTTTGGGATTGCTTAATTTATTGTCAAACAGGGTATTTTTAGCTGTTGCTCCTATATGTAGTAGCTGAGATTGGGAAAATCTTTTCTGGGCATTGAAAGATTTTGAGTTCTTGATTGGAATCTGGAAGTTTCTGAAGATTTATTGGTATGCTTTTTCAGTGTTTTATATTCTCATGTTTTATTTACTAAAAGGAAATTAAAAAAAACCTTTAGCTTAATCTCGTTTCAGTGGTTTACGTTTAAATCTAAAGATGATTTGAGGCATAAATATTAGAGCTTGTCAGGTAACTTCGCAACGATCGCATCTGATATTATCTAAATCACCCCTAGTTTTACATTAAAGGATAAATTATTTGTTTCGGACCGAAATTGACCTGAATAGATGGACACAAAGAATTTGTATAGCCAGTGCCATCTAATTTGGGATTGAGGTTAGTTGATTTATTGATCGAATGAGCAGTTTCCCATAGGCTGGCAGTTAACCAAATTCAGATTATGATGCTAGAGTTACTTTCGTTGTAGCATAGACATCAATATTAGCATTCTATCTTATTCAAATATACGTTTTTATACAATTAGTTGCACTTATAACTTATAAGTATTTGGATTGGTGTAGCAGACTGGTGATAAATTTTAACTGTTGTCTATGCTCTCCAGAGCTCTTTCTGTTCATGTTAGACATTTATGTATCAAAGTTGAAATTGTTTCCTTGTCTTCTTTCTTAGGTTAATTCAATGTCCTCTGCGGTTAAGTTGGAATCAATTATCTGTGATGACGGTGAGGAGCCAGGTCATATATCTGTAAATGGACAGGTAGCATTTGCCAAAAGACTAAATGTGGTACACAAAATACTTGACGGATTCCGTAGGAAAGGGGTATGGTCGGCTGGCAAGATATCAATTGCTGCAGAACGAAGAGCAGCTAGTGACAGGTGTTCTGCAGCTCAACTATCTTACCAGAATTCTCCCCGTTTTTCTTTTTTTCTTCATCTTTCTTAGGGAAGGGGGAGGGGTTGTACCTATAAATCATACTTTAACCTTAGGAGCTCTCTTTTTTGAAGTTTTATCTTTTCCATCTCTTTTTATTTTATTTATGTCTAGCTTTTTTTCCTGGAAACTTATCACAGTGCGTTCAAGCTGAATGACTAGCATGCCTCGTACATTCTTCAATTTGACTTTCCCACTGTCTTATTTTGCTTTTATGGATGTTACTGTTCATTTCTTGAATAAGAGATGCAGTTTTGTCCTTGCCTTAAAAATAGGTCACTTTGAGTTAGTTAAAAATCAATTACTGGGTAATTCTTTGATAGCTATTTGCTAGCTACTATCGTTCAACTTAGCATCATACTGTTTAGGTACCGTTTAAATACACGGGAGTATTGTGGATGCATAAGCTTTGGCATATTTTTCAGAACTGCTTCAGTTAGATCCATAGCTTTTTGCCGTTTTCCTGGACACAGGGTGAGGGCCTGATATTTTCTGAGAAGTTATAACCAAACGATTTTTGCAATTAACCTATTCTCACATCTCACAGGTTTTCCAAAAGCAATCAAGCTGTGGATAGCGAAGAAAAAAGGGAACATGGATCTGGAAGAAAATCTGGCCCTCTTTTGTCTGGAACTGCATATTGCCTTTCTTCTTGTTGCATGATCCTGCTGAATAAAATTGTCCTTTCAAGTTATTCTTTCAATGCTGGTATCTCGTTGATGTTCTACCAGGTATTCTCTACTTACAGTTGACCATCTTTCCATCCTTTGGAATAACAAGATGAGGCACATTAATGCTTAAGGTTAGCTATTATGCATGTTATATCATTGCCATTTTGAGCTCCAATTGGAAACTTTTTGTTCAATCATTTGCATGTCCAACATCCTTTTTCAACCTTGTTTTTGCGACACTTCTTCCCTAGTACCAGGAACTTGCAGTTTACAGATGTTATCTCATGAAACTAATTCTACTCCTACTTCTCTCAGAACCTTATCAGTACTCTTATAGTTTGTATACTGGGTTGCTCTGGAGCAGTTACTGTGGAGAAGCTTAATTGGAAGCTCATTAAAGTTTGGATCCCCGTGAATTTGATCTTCATTGGCATGCTTGTTTCAGGCATGTATAGGTAATATCTGATATGTCTATACTCACCATAGACTTAGGAATGATTAGCTCTACATCATTATGCCAATGACATTACTTGTGCACCTTTTCAGTTTGAAATACATAAATATTGCAATGGTGACAATTCTGAAGAATGTGACAAATATTTTAACAGCAACTGGAGAGTTATATATTTTTGGGAAGCGACAGAATCAGAAAGTGTGGACTGCCATGTTTCTTATGGTATGTTAGTGTTGTTCAGGCATGCAATGTAAATTTAGTTGTCAGAGATCACATCATCCTCAAGGACAATCGTCTTTGTAATTCTTATGCTGTATATCCAGTCATCACAGTCCATATCAGATCGCGGGATAACATTATACAGTAGTCCTACTAAGCATCTGTTCCCTGATTTTAATTAGATGACTGTTGCATATACCTCATATTTTTTCTGTGTTAAGATATGTACAGTAGTAACATATAATTTAGAGCCAACAAAATTTGCTTTCACTGTCCCAGTTCTCCTTAATTTTAGTTAAGGCCAAAATAGAACTCCATTTGGCTTCCCACTCACTGAATGATAATTAAATTTTATTGTATATGAACTACTTTACGCTTTCCCCTCCCCACCCCTGGTCCCGCTCTGGCATAGGGAAAAAGAACAATTTATTGGCAGTTTCTTCATTGATGCTGCTATCTTCTTGCTTTCAGATTATCTCTGCTATATCTGGAGGCATAACAGACCTCTCATTCGACGGGACGGGTTATGCTTGGCAATCAGTTAATTGCATTCTCACTGCAGGCTACTCAGTATGTACTTTCTGCTTTACTCTGTTCTTCATCCTTGATTGCTGGTACCAAGATCGTGCAAAGAAATTTGCTCTTGACTTCTTTCAATTATAAGAAAGCAACAAAAATTAGACTGACTAATATAACAAGTCAAACTTCAAAATATATGTTTCATTTCCCTAATCTATTTGTTTTCATTGGACATCAATTTTCAACAGCTCACACTGCGACATGTCATGGACAGAGCAAAGCAATTTACAAAATCTGGATCGCTTAACGAAGTTTCAATGGTATTACTGAACAATGGGATATCTATACCTTTTGCTATCGGCTTGATCTTCCTGTTTGATGAATGGAATTATGTAATTAATGCGTACGTGCTATATCTTTGTTACTATATCATTAGACATTTGTCTTTTTGTTAATGGAATAAATATTATACTTTTGAGCTGCTCAGTAGTCTCTTCTTTTTCTGTTTAGTCCTTCACTTAGGAGTACCAAATAAATATTGCAGTTTCAATTTTTTTTTTCATTTGCAGGGATGTAATTAAGATTCCAATGTTCTGGGTTGCTGCAACAGCCAGTGGATTGCTTGGGCTAGCCATTAGCTTCACATCTATGTGGTTTTTGAAACAAACTGGTCCAACCACTTACAGGTGAGTCATACTGGCTTGACATTTCTTGGGGAGTTGCATCATGAACTACTTAGCTTAGTTTACGTGATCTGCTAACTTGTTGACGATAAAGATATGGACCCTTATCACTTTGGCATGGAGTTGGTTCTCGATAGATATTTGACATGCATTCTGTTCCTATATTCTAGAACTATTTGCTGTATTATTATTTAAGTCTGCTATAAATCTTTTCCGGCAATAGTTAGACAAGGTTAACCCAGATTATACTGGGGAGAAGGAAAAATGAAAGAAAGCTACCTTAATGTGACCTTTTTTCTAGTTACAGTCTACTTGAAAGGAAGTATAAGATGCATTTTCAAATTGCTTCATGATTAGTTATTTAATCCTATACTCTTTCTCCGCTTCATAGTCTTGTAGGTTCCTTAAACAAGATTCCCATTTCAATTGCTGGCCTTTTGGTGTTCAAGGTTCCTCTCAGTGTTCCCAATTTATTCAGCATACTTTTCGGTAATGTGAACTATCCAGATTATATTCTTGACGATTTAATGTAATTCTCTTTAGTATTTACTTATTTTACCTTACCGAAATCTGCCATTGCTTTCAGGTCTACTTGCTGGAGTACTTTTTGCCAGGGCCAAGATGTCTTGACACCGTGCTACACTCGGGTCCGAGATAGGCGATCTACCGCTTGGAAACTCAAATAGCGTGCATATACAGATTGACTAACAATAAAAACTCTAAAACTCCAACAGAATCACACAAGGAGTTCCTTCCCCTATACAAGTCAGTGTAGGCAGTAGTAGGAGCCGAGAGCAAGATACCATATTTAGTTACTCCTATTTATTTGGTCTGTCAGATGCTCATTCCAGGGAAATGAAGCATCTATCAATTTTGGTTTTTGTGAGCAGTAGTTATTCAATTCAGTCATCTGAAAACCTTTTTCTTTTTCTGGAATAAGGTCAAACTACAAAAAATGCATATATAACTACATACACTGTAGAAAGGGATAAAAGAATTCCCTATGGATTTGGTGAAAATAATATGACAGTATCAGTTCGAGTTTGATTTTTGTTGAATGGTAGGTTATGTTGCTCAAATGCCCGAATGGCAGCAAAAATGTTCTAGAAAATAATGTATTTTCATAGTGTTTGGTTTTCAGATTACCAAAAGAAAAAAAAAATGACAACGTTTTTAGCGAAAGCCATTTTTTTCTCTCCACAATATTGACTATTTACTTTATATCACTACTCCAACTAATACATAAACGGGGCATTTGTATCTATACCCGCTTTTTGTGTCACGTTTTAACTTGTGTCCGCTTTGCAAAAAAATTTGCAAGCGTACCCGCTTTTTCGCATAACTTCAGTATACGGGGTTGAAGTAGCAAAGACAATCACGCAAAACTTCAGCATTCTATTAGCCGGGCCTGAAGTTCAGCTCTAGAGCTGAAGTTTTTGTTTTGTAACTGTCGAACTTTAGCTCTAGAGCTGAAGTTTTTGTTTGTAAGCTTCAGCTCTAGAGCTGAAGCTTTTATTTTGTAACTGGCGAACTTCAGCTCTAGAGCTGAAGTTTTTGTGTTGTAACTGGGAAACTTCAGCTCTAGAGCTGAAGTCTGAAGGAATCACTACTGTTTTTGGTGTTTCGCGGTTGATCAACTTTGATGTTGCAAGTACATTCACCTAAAAATACAGATAATCTCGGATTCCAGAAATATCCAGCAAACTTGAAAAGGTTGAAAGAAGTAAACAAAAAAAAAAGGAAGAAAGATCGATGATAAGCTATAGCGTGTAAACCTCTGAAGAGAAATCTGATGGATAAGTTGCAGGTTATAAGCTGTGCAAAGAAAGTTCGAAAGAGAAAAAGCAAAAGATATTGTAATCGTTACCGAAAGGGTTTGACTTCCACAATATGCTTTAAACTAAAAACCAAAATTTTATATGAAAATCAGAGAAAAAAGAGAATAGGATTTGCTGAGAAAACTAGTAAAAGGAGACTGGTATTGAGAGACCAGGAAGAAAGTGTTCATTTATATAGTATCACTGCATGGGAAGAACGTCCTAATGTTCTTAGCTGAGATTCTCATGTATATGATTCGAGAGAGTTGCAAAGCAAGGAGGAGGAGAAAAGGGGCTGAAATTTTTTAAAAAGTAGGTACAAATTAAAAGTTTTTAAAAAAATGGGTATAGGTTAAATGAGGGCGACCAAATAGGGCGCCCCGTGCAATTTTTACTACATAAACACTATTGTTATTTTTTATATCCCTAAACTAGTTTCTGTGGTATCAAAATTCAAATATTGTAAGTAGTATATATCTAACCGGAGAATGGAATAAGAGTTATTTGACAAATTTGAATTCAGCAAAGGGATGAGTCAACAAAATCTAAACACTAAGGGTGTGTTTGGCACGAAGAAAAATATTTCTAATTTTTTCATATTTGTTTGGCTTAAATGTTTTGGAAAGTATTTTCCTCATGAACTTATTTTCCTTCAATTTTTCCATATTAAAAGAAGAGAAAANCACCCCTCGCCCAACCCCCACTCTAAATAGAAACATGGGAAAAAAGTTGGATTTATCCATCCGCTTTAGTAAATTGTCCACATTTATCCCTAGTTTTACTATCCATCCAAATATATCCCTACCGTTAAGAAAGTAGACAAAAATGTGCCCAACCCTAACAGTTGTCCATTATGGCATGAGACCCTCTCAATAAAAAATGTCACGTCATTAAATAGAAGTGGTGTTCTCTATGTGTGTCCCAAAAATAATTAGAAATGAAATAGAAAAAAGAGTAAGAAAAAATAAATAAAATTAGAAAAAGTAAAAGATCTATCTCCCCCCCTCCTATTTCTTCACCTCATCAGAATATTCCAGCCAAAAAAGTATCCTTCTTTTTCATCCAATTTTTATTTCTCAAGATCTCACTTTCCTCCTTCTTTCTCTTCTCTGTTCATAAAATATCTCTTCCACTATCTTTCTCAATATTCAAGTGGCTCTCAATCCTTAAAATTTCATTAAGAGCACTGTTCCAGATAGCAAAATTTCCTGGCAAGGTCTTTTATTTCAGGCCAAAGATTCCTTTTTTTAAAAAAAAGTACTATCTTCTTTGTTTGCGAAAAAGATTGTTCCGTCGAGATATTATTGGTGTAACAACTAAATTTCGCTCCTAAAAAATAATAATCAAGACAAGAAATATAGCGACAAATATTATATTCGATTTCAAGTGATGGGGTTATAATCACTAAAATATCTCTAGGGTCTTGTTACTTAAAGAGTTTGATTTGGAGATTGTGGACCGGAAGGGTAGTGAGAACCAAGTGGCAGACCACTTGTCCCACTTGGAGGAAGAGGGGAGGCCTCATGACGGCCTAGAGATCAATGATTCATTTCCCGACGAACAACTCCTTTCGGTGTCGATGAATGATATGTCATGGTTTGCCGATGTTGCTAATTTCCTTGTGACTGGTATAATCCCGTGTGAGCTCTCTTCTAACCAAAAGAAGAAGCTCAAGTGAGATAGTTTGGATTTCTATTGGGATGAGCCGTACTTGTTCAAGATTTGCACGGATGCTGTGATCAGAAGGTGTGTCCCGGAGGAAGAGCAATTGAGTATCTTGGAGGCTTGTCATTCCTCTCCTTATGGTGTCCATCATGGCGGGGCAAGGACGAATTCCAAAGTTCTTAGTTGTGGGTTTTATTGGACAACTTTGTTCAAAGATGCAGGTAATTTTGTGAAGAGATGTGATGAATGCCAAAGAGCGGGTGGAATTTCGAAGAAAGATGAGATGCCTCTCAATACCATCCTTGAGGTTGATGTTTTTGATGTATGGGATATTGACTTTTTGGGCCCGTTTGTTAGCTCGTGTGGGAACACATACATTCTTGTGGCGGTAGACTATGTTTCAAAGTGGGTTGAAGCCGTGGCGTTGCCCAACAATAAGGCCCGGAGTGTTGTTGCATTTCTCAAGAAGAGCATTTTTACAAGGTTTGGTACTCCTCGTACAATCATAAGTGATGGGAGGTCTCATTTTTGTAATAGAGCTTTTGACACTTTGCTTTCAATATATGGTGTCAATTACAAAGTTTCTACTCCCTATCATCCTCAAGCAAGTGGTCAAGTTGAAGTCTCCAACAGGAAAATCAGAAGCATATTGTCAAAGACGGCCAATGCAAATAGAACCGATTGGTCAAATAAGTTGGATGATGCTCTATGGGCTTATATGACTTCTTACAAGACTTCGATTGGTATGTCTCCGTATTGGTCGGTGTTTGGGAAAGCTTTCCATCTACCGGTTGAGTTAGAGCACAAGGCCATGTGGGCTTTGAGGAAGCTAAATCTCGAATGGGATGTTGCAGCAAATCTTCGTGTGGAGCAACTTAATGAACTTGATGAATTTCGATTCCATACCTACTCTAGTTCTTCCTTGTACAAGGATAAGATGAAGTACCTTCATGATAAATATGCTCGTAGCAAGGAGTTCAAAGTTGGTGATTTAGTTCTCTTGTTCAACTCTCGGTTACGTCTATTTCCGAGAAAGCTTAAGTCAAAATGGAGTGGACCTTTTGAAGTAGTGTGTGTGAACCCGTTTGGTACACTTCAAAAATGGGGAAGTTTTCAGAGTGAATGGGCATAGGGTCAAGAACTACTTGGAAAAAATTGATGACAGCCACGTGGTGGCACTTCTTCATCTCAAATGATTTGATGGTAACCTGCGTCGTGCCGCGACGTTAAATCAGACGCTTTTTGGGAGGCAACCCATGTGTTTTTCTTCTTGTTTTTATTTGATTTTCATTGTAGTACAAGATTTATTTTTGGACTAACTGGTTGTGAGATGCTATAGGATTGTGTTGATGTAGTGCAGGACATAGTGAAAAAAGTGTTCAGGTCTCTGAAGTTTTCAATGCAGACGCACTACATTTAGTGCAGACCGCACTGATAAAGGACGAAAAGTCCAGCTCTATGAAGTTTTCCACCTCAGCCGCATTATATTTTGTGCGGTCGGCGGTAGACCACTGCGTCCGCACGACATTTTGTGCGGATTGCAGTGGGTTGCTTTCTCAAACTTGAAAAAATGCTGTGTAGTGCGGACCGCAATCCATTTTGTGTGGTCAGCATTGGGTTGGTAAGCTGGGCCCCAGGTCCTCTTCTATAAATAGGGCCTGAGGCCCTCCTTTTACACTTTTCAATCCTGTTGCTCTCAGAACTCATAAAAGCACTGTTCATCTTTCCTTTTGCTCGTAATTAACTGCTTGGACTCGTTTACCTTCAGTTCATCTCACATCTGGCACCATTAACTTCTTTTTAGTTGTTTAATTTTGTTAACTTCTCTTAATTTTTATTTTTCTTGCTTCCTTTCTGTTCTTCCAGTACTTCTTTTGATTTGGTAAAATTAGGTTAGTTAATTTCTTGATTAAAGTAGAATTAGGTAGTTAGAAACATTGGGCAAACACATAGGAACCTTTCTTAGGTGTAAAATTGGACTTAAAATCAAAATACATTGAACCTTAAGTTAGTGTTGCTTATGGGCACTCAGTATGGACCGCGGTCGATTCTGTGTGGTTCGCGGTGCCTTAATGCGGTCCGCAATGGCATTTTGTGCGGACTGCATTGATGAGTGTCTATAATCTGATCTTTGGGGACTGCAGCCGCACTACATTTTGTGCGGTCCGCATTGGTCCCTGTGCATCCGCACTACATTTTGTGCGGTCCGCATTGCCTAGATATAGAGAGTGGGTAGTCTGAACCCCACCTCTATGCAGACCGCATTGCCATTTTGTACGGTCCGTATTGGCCTCTGTGCGGCCACACTCCATTTTGTGCGGTCTGCACTTTGTAGTATCTGCAACTGTCTGCAACCTTTTCTTTTCTGCAACTCTGATCTTAATTACTTCTACTAATACTAACAAGCCTAATGGATGTTGTTTGCAGACAATGGTAAAACAAAGAGGCAAGGGTTCTAATCAAGCTGGTCGAGGTGAATCCTCCCGGGGGAGGGGAAATAGAAAATGATAAGCCTGGCAAAACATTAAAAACATGAGGAAGATGATTAAAGCTACTGATAGGGCC